CTCTCTCTCTCTCTCTCGCTCATCAAGACATCCCTCCAGCCAGGAATACCATTTAGCCCTGCTAATTAATGGATCTTTGTTGTTCCCTCATCTCCTTGCAAGCAGTTAGCGGGAGATTACAAGTTCCCTGCCTGTGCATAATGACATTGGGGGAAGCCTGCCCATCCAAACACTGATTGTTTTGGAGCGCTTGGAGGAGGGAGGGAAAGCATGAGGGATGAACGGGCTTAGAACGAGCAGCAGGAAAAGCTGAGATGTTGTAAGGAGGGACATTTACATTTCAACCTGAGAGAGACAAAAAGACAAATCAGCTGAAAAATATTAATCGCCTTATGTTTCTTTGTTCCCCTGCATTAACATGTTAAAACTTTAATATTATACTAACAAATCTCTTGTACTCTACAATTGGGAATAGATTTAAGTTCACACGAGGACCACGCTTCTTAATAGAGTTGCGGTGCTTGAATGTTCCCCATATATTTAAATTTCTAATGTTTCCCAATTAGAAAACAATTTTGTGAAACATATTACCACTTATAGACTTGTAAAAGTTTTCATGTCATTATCCAAGTGGCCCAAATAATAAAAAGTGCAAACCAAACTAATATAGATTCCCCACATCAGCCAAATTCCTATTGTTTAGTGTGCAATGCGACAACTGTGCAAATTTGCCTGTCAGCGTTCAGCAAAGATGAAGATGATAAATTCATGCACATATACTTCGCCTCAGTGTGTGGATCCACTAATAAAAGCAATTCTTTCTGATTCTGCTCTCAGGCCTCTAGTTCCTCCCTCTCCTGCAGTGGCCCTCAGCTTTTCTCACCCCTTGTCATCATTGTGTCCAAAGTCATCCACTCATTCGCTACTCCCTACTCACTAGGGGGTTCTATGTACAGGATTACATAGTGGACTCAAAATGAGAAAAACACTTTTGACTACTCTGGTCATTTTCTCAGCGCCTTTAATTGTGTCAATTAAAACGTGACAGCTCAACGTCGGCTGGTGGATTAACATAGGCTATAGGCTGGACTATCCATTATAACCAGCAGTGTGCATTTTTGTAATAAATAAATGATATTATACACAAATGAATAAATACACAGCACTTTGTGTTGTGATGCGCTGCTCTGTTCACATTAACATCATATTAAACATTATTTTCTCACCACAGCTCATGGATTTGTCTCGTGGCTGTCGTCACAGGGAAAAACAAACCATGCTCCATCAAAAATACTTAATAATACTCTTAAAATAGCTCTATGAAAATGTCTTAAAATCATCAATCAAATATTTTCGATTAGGAGAAGAAACAGAAGTACTGGACAGAGAACGTGCTGCTCTTGCTACACGAGCAAGATGTCGTCACATTATATGTGAAAAGATGAAGATGATGCCTGGCCTTTAAATTTGTATTCACAATAGATAGACACATCATTTCTGAATTCTCAGTCTTAACAACTAACCACCCTCCACACACACACACACACACACACACACACATGCACACACACGCACACACAACATACATATTAACAACAATTTTTGATGTTCTGATCTTTTTTTACATTATTTAATTTTAACTATTCCTTTTATCATTTTTAATCTTATATCTTATTATCTACATCCTTAAACAATCATCTTATTCTCATTTTATCTTCTCTTTAAACATCTGTATTTCCTGCTCTTATACTTTTATTTTCCAGTTATCTAAATTACTTCTTCCCAGTATAACTATTTTTCCCTCTCTCTCCAAATTTTTTCTTTCCAATTAATTAAAATTAAAAATAAACCAAACCACAAATAATTTCGTCTATTTTTGATGTATGTAAGCCAAATTTAATT